AATATTACGACGACTTTAGTGACTTACTAGTAAATTCCAGAATGGGCCATTTCATGGCTTTGCCTTGACATGAAGGTAGGCTGGAAGACCTAGAGCACCTTGGCTTTCCTTGTGAAGCGTGCCTCTGCATTGCCTTCCTCCCAGAGCAGCAGAGTTTCATCGCGAGTGCTCTCCCGGTCTCACCCATGCAGAACCTCGTGACCAGCTCTTCCACAACAACTCCCCAGCCTTGATTTCCAGGCACCTCATTTTAGCAGTTACCGTTGAACAGTCTCTCGAGTTATTGTTAGAACGAAACGAGGATCATCTGACAGGAGCACATTGCAGCTCCTTGGTAAATAGCGGCAAGGAACGTTTCAGGAGCTCGCGTGCCTTCCTGCAGCGCTATCGCCAATCCGACCACCCGGGGACACACCTGATCCCACCCCTTTTGGCCCCAGCACCTTGCATTTCCAAAAGCAGTAAAGCCCCGCACCAGCCTCAACTCTACGAGGCGTATTTCGCTGCATCATTTTGCTCAGTTATCAGCTTCCATAATTACTTGCAAATTGGCCACAGGGATTTATTGTTATTTTTAGGATCGTTTCAGCGGAAAAGGCATCTGATTAGATGGATATATACTTGCACGACATCTTTCACTCGAGGATCTCTAAGCACTCCGTAGAATATGAATGAATTTCTCTGCTTGTCTGCAGTGATACTTCTTTTACAAGCAGGACAACAGGAGCAGTGATTAAAAGACATGTCCAAACTCCCAGAGGAAATTTATGCCGAGCACGGGAACACCGGCTTCCAGTTGTGTGTGTTAACTATTAAACCTGTGCTAACACGGACGGCGGGAGGTTGGCTACACAGGCATTAAAGAAAACGCTGCTACCGTAATTTGAAATGGTCGTCTCTCCTTCCACGCTAACGGGTTCAAGCACGGATTAGGCTTGGAGAGAGGGGGGAAAGAAAGAAAAAAAAAAAAAGAAAAAATGCTCCTTATCAAACACCAAACAAACAGCCCTTTTTTTGCTAATAAGCAGCAACGGGGAGAAGCGAAGGGCAGGGAAAGGCGCGGGGTGATGGAGAGCTTGGGGTATGAACAGGCAGGGCTGGGCTTTTGCCAGCGTGACTTGCCGAGGCTTCACCCTCTGTCACCGTTCGGCAGATCCCATCTCCCGCCTCGTCCTTCAACCCGGCTTCCCTCCCTCCTTTGCGCTTTGCCTGCCAGGGACACGCACCACCCGCAAAACGGGCCGAGAGGCACTGAAAAACAGACAACACGCGGGAGCCGGCAGACTGGTGTTTCTCTCTTTTATTTAAAAACAGTGCTTCATTACCATTTGCAAAGGGTTAGGAAGGGTTTCCCCCCCTTGCTTAGAGTTTATAAAAGCCAGCAACATGATCAATAATTTATACACATGGATAGTAATACAAAAAAAAGGAATAAAAGCTAAAGATCTAACTACTCCGACCTTCACAATTCCAGCTACTTGATAATAATAGGAATAACCCAATGAATACTGTATGGTCTGAAAGCTACTATACAATATGATACTTAACGAGGGAGGGCGGGAAGTTAGAGGCTGTCACAAAGCCCTGGGATGCAGATACTGCTTCTCCAGAGTCAGCAGGGAAATGGGACCCTGGGCAAGCGGCTCGGGCGTCCTAGGAAATGATCCAGGGGAAGGGAACGCATCCCGCTCGGGACACGTCCTGCTCCCCGGTGGTACCTGGCAATGGGAGGTGCTGGGGAGACGGCGTGAAGGGGCGAGTCCATCGCTGCCACCGGAGGTGCTGCGGCGTCTCAGCCTTGCACTGAAAATCTCCGAGTCTCAAGTAGATCAGCCTGTGAGGTCAGTAAAATACTCCACCAGCTCCGTGTCGCTCTACAGCCCTGGTTTTCATTTGCTATCAGCCCCAGGTTTTAGCTCCAGCTATGTACAAGCAGGATTTATCATATAAAAAAGAAGAAAAAAAAAAAGAAAAAGAAGAAAAAAAGGAAAAAAAAAGCAAAAAAAAGAAAAAACAAACAGAAAAGAAAAAACCCAAAACCAAATCATATCCCCTAGGGTAAAAGAGGATTATTTCGTCACTTGATAACGCAGCTAAATCAAGCTGCCAAAACTACAACACACGCGCACACACAAAATACTGTGAACAGAAAAAAAATTAGAAAAACAAGACCAAAACTGAAGACTACTAATGTGGGAAGCCCAATTTCTGTAAGGAATTCACTCCTCGGGGAAGCAACGAGCCCCTCCACCAGCAGAGAACTGGGAATCTGGCAGGATTTATTGACCCACTTCAGAACACGCACACACCAAAAAAAAAAAAAAAAAAAAAAAAAAAAGAATAAAAAAAGAAATAAAAACATTCCCAAGATGGACGAACGTTTTGCCGACCGGCAGCCCCAGTGGCTGTTCAGGTGGACGGCTCCAGGCCCCAGCAATCTCCTGGCAAAATCAGGGAAGGTTTTTAGCCGATGCCTCCTTGCTCTGCGGCGAGTTGGGGGGCAGCGTGGGGCGCCCGCCTCCCGGCCAGGCTGCCCGCTGGCAGCGCTCTCGGCCACGAGCTGCCTTCCAGGGTTAGCGGCGGCAACAGCGCCGGGCCTCGGACGTCCCGAGGGCCGGTGAGGCTGCCGTGGAGCTGCAGAGGGCCGGGGGCTAGCCGGGGGCTAGCGTGCCGGGGAGAAACGCCAGAGCCGACTTGAAAAGGGCCCCATTTCACGCTCTGGCTATCGAGACTCCTGCTTGCCTTGTGGACTGGAGTTTTCACTGTCGAAGAGAAGTTTACCGGGGTTGGAGGGCGGAGAGGGCAATCGGTAAGGTGGGGGTGGAGGGAAGGGGCTTTTCAGACATTAACATCACCAAAAATAGTGTTTTATGCAACAAAGAATCAAGTCTCACTGGTGTATACTACAAAATGTTTGACATTTTCCAAGAGCATGACAAAATAAAAACACAAAGAAGTTTACATTGGATGTTCATCTCGTTCACTAGGTCGGGGTTTGTCTCTTTTTTTTTTTTTTTTTCCCGCCCCCTCCTATTTTAAAACAGTGCAAACAGGTAACACACTTTAAAAAAAAAATCACCCCTCTGCACCAAGGACAGCATTCCCCCGACCCTGCCGGGCTGGAGGGCCGCGGGCAGCAAGCCGTCCACCACGCTGCCCGCCTGCTTTCCCTTTGGAGCTAGACTCAGCAAAAGCCCTCCCCAGAGCTGTCGTTTGGGTTTCCCTTTATTGAATTCCTAAGCGCTCCCCAAACCTGTTCTCTCCACTTGCTGCTTTTTTCAGGGGCCGGGACGGGCAGATGGACAGGGACGGCTTGGGGACAAGCGGGGGCAGGAACTGGGAGGCTCTGCTTTGTGTTCCCTGCCGCCGAAGCTCTGGGTGCTGGAACTGAAACCCCAGCAGCCTCTCTTTTTGGGCAAGGAAACGGTTTCTTTAAGCGTTTCACAACCAGCCCTCAAGCCAGCTATCCCGATAACCCTCCTCAGCTCTTGCTGGGGCCCTTCGCACCCACAGATCTCACGCTGGGCGGGAACAGAGGTTAAACTTTCACTGCACTTTAGGGACGGGGAAGTGAAGTCTAGAGTAGTGACAGGACTGCTCCACGGGGACCCCTGAGGATCACTGACTGAGCCCTGCCCCAAAAAACCACGGGTCTCCGACTCCTGAGCTTGAGCTCCCCCTCGGGTACCCAAACAGCCAAGCCACAGCTGTTTTAATACGTGGCCTTGTCTAGCTGAACTCGCGACACAGGAGCCACGTAACCACTTAACCTGGGGAAAGCTGGCGAGAGCGGGCTCCCACTGAGCTCCCTGGTGTCTCCAGGTCCCGTCACGGCTTTTCTCAGAAAAGCTAACCCACCTACAACAGTGCAGCCTCCCTAGCACGGGGACAGTGACAACAGTTTGTTAACGTGCTGGACATCAGTACAACTCATTCCCAGTAGAGAATATGCTATACCGGTAGAAGTCACCTTTGTACCAGCACAACTGTATCCATAAGGAAACACAGACCAGCACATTAAATAAATCAACTCTTCAATCTAAAGTTTTATTAGTATAATATCATGTGCTGGCCAGACCTATTGCAAGACAGTACAAACAGCAACACTTAAAGAAACATCTTTTCCTCTACATCGAGAGGAAACCCGGATGCCACCAGACTAGAAGGTGACAAACAGCAAGCTATTTGCCAGGCTGCCTGCACGGTTGCCCTCGGAAAGCCAAGCCCTGCTTCGCGAGGGACCTGTGACCGCAGACCCATCTGGGGACAAGCGCTAGCTGCCGTCGGTCAAATAAGCCAGGGCCCCAGTTTAATTCATTAAGTGTAATTAATTTTGCATAGGGAGATATAGGCTTTGTCCTCACTTCTTCAGAAGATGGATACAGCCACGACCTGGCTACCCTAAAAGCATCTCAAGCCAGTTCATAACGCATCCGTGTGAAAGCAGAGCCGTTTGCCAAGAGGGAAGAAAGGCCGAAGAGCTCTCCCACCACGGCACGACACTCGCTCGAGAAACCTCGCTGCAAAATTCCAGCTGGCGTGCAAGCTTCCAGAGACCTGGAAACCAGCGAGCTACCTCCAAACCCCCCAGCCACGCAAGCGTCCCGGCGTCCACGCTGCAGCTCGCTGCTGAGGGCAGGGAGCTGGGCTTATCAGCAAGGCGCCTCAGCGGGGATCTTGCAGCATGAACTACGGAGTCAAGGAGCCTGACAGGGAACCACCGGGCGCAGGCCGGGCTCGGATAGAGGAGGAATGGGGCTGGGTGGTCTAGAGCAGGCGTTACTCGGGAGACCCCGCGGCAGGGGACCACGGCCCCCGCAAAGGTTGGGCGCTTCTGCACTAAAACCCTCACACTCCTAAATCCCCTGGGGCGGGCTGAAGCTGCCGTGCATAGAACTCTGCTCAGAGGCAGGAACGGGGGGGGGGGGGGGGGGGGGGGGGGGGGGGGGGGGGGGGGGGGGGGGGGGGGGGGGGGGGGGGGGGGGGGGGGGTGGGGGGGGGGGGGGGGGGGGGGGGGGGGGGGGGGGGGGCTGGCCTCTCCTGACTGCCAGAGCGGCCAAAGTGTTAGGGCAGGGGGGGGAAAGATTGCAGGCGGCACTGCCAGGGCCGGGGAGGGCTCTCGGGGGGGGCCAACCCAGCTTTTCAGGAGCTGGGGTCAGGCCCAGCTGAACTGAACTGTCGGAAAGGGGCAGAGGGGCGAGCAGCCGCCGCTGCCGGGCTCTGCCCGCTGCGCTCCTCTCGCTGGCAGCCGGCAGACCCGCTGCGTGAGGAGCTGCCCGCGGCCCGGGGAAGGGACGGCCTCACTCGGCTCCTCGGCCCCCCCGGGGGCAGAGCCGAGTCCCGCAGAGGTTTTTTGCTGCATCTCGGCTCCAGAAGCCGCCTGGCTGCCCTGCGGTGGAAACGGCTCCCCTTGAATATGACGACTATTTCTACGCCGCAAGCCCTCCCTTCCCCTACCCCAACTCAGGCAGTAAAAGCCCCAAATATCCCGAGTCCCCTCATTTCCTAGATTTTGTGAAAGCCCCAACACCCTGTGCCCCCTCCCCATTTTCAAGCTAACTAAAATATTTATATACAAACAACAAAAAAAATTGTCATAACAGCAACAAACCAAACTTTGGCTTGGTGAAAAAAAAAAAAAAAAAAGTTAAAAACCAACAATAAAACCAGAAAAAAAAAAAAAACAGAAGGTGGCCAACAGGCTGGCAGTTTGGTGTCCCCTTTATCTAGCTATTCCTTCAGAGAATCGATAGCTTCAGGGTCTCTAGCTTAACTAATGGCTTCCCCATTCTTCCCACTTGAGGTGCCGCCTCTACACCCACAGAGAGGCTACGCTTATCCCTGGGGAAGAGCAAAAATTAAAAAAGACGCATGGTTGTGCGTGGCTGGGCCAGGACACCCCCCCCCCCCCGGGGATCTCTCCCTGTTGATGTTGCTTAGTGTTAAATGCAGGAGGTTTCCTATTCTGGTACCAGCAGCGGATGGAGAAGCAGGTGTAGGACAGGAGGCGGAGAGGCTCCACCGACAAACCCCCGCCCCAAGGAGCCCTCCTGGGGGGCAGCGGGCTCCCCCAGTACCAGTTGAGGGAGGCGAGGCGGCCTAATAAAACAGCGCTCCCACATTTCTCTGCCACATGGTTCGAGACCCTGCCCCTGATCACCAGGGGGGCACTGGGAGCCGGGTGGGGAGGTCTGGAGAGCAGCAACCCCCATCGCAGCACAGCATCGAAACGTGCTGGCTTTGAAACACAGCGAAGTCACTGTGCGTGCGAGCAGAAGGGAGCTGGTCTTGGGAGGCACGGAGCCCTCTCCTAAATAGGCTCGCTGCCTCCAAATCTTCTAATATGTAGTGTCTATATGGACTCAGCAGACCGAGTGCGCAGCTTGCTATGAGAGGCTGGGCCAAACAAACCCAGGGGCTCCAACGCAACTATGTAAGGGCCTGAAATCGCTGGTGGTGGGAAGTTCCTATGAATTCAGAGCTCGCGCTAGCTGCTTCTGCCTCCCCTTCACCTCCTGACAGAAACAAAACTACTTCAGGATCATGTTTAGAGATACGAAAGACCCTCTTCCCCCACACAAACCCACATGCCTGCCCCTCGCCTCAAGCAGCTTATACATGACTTGTTTTTCCTCACTCATGTTATTTGAAACAGATTACTTGCAGAAGTGCCTAAGCAGCTCAGGATGAGCAGGAGGAGAGACCTTGCACGCTGGACCTCGGGGCGCCCGAGCACGGCACAGATGCAGGGATCTTCTGCTAGTGTTCTTCCTCGCAAGGCTGCGTGAGCTTCACCTCCGCACGTTTAACCGCTTGCTGGCTGCAGCTGTCCGCAACAGAGGTATTCTGTGTGATGCTGCATTGCATCTGCGCTCCTCGAGGAAAGAAGGGGAGGAAAGGGACAGCAAGCAAGAAAGGTCTTGAAAAGGAGGAAGGAAAACTAAGATAATTACAGCCACCAGCAATGGACAACAATCAGCTAAAGTAAGTTGTGTGAGGGGGGATGGAAAGACCATCCTCGTCAAAAACTCCTTTCAAAGTCTTGTCCCCTGTACAGCAGGTAACAGCCAAAGTCTTTGGGCGGGTTGAAGAAATCTTCTCTTGCCAAGTCTAAAATCCTGACACTGCTGAAACTGTCCCAAACCTGTGCGCATCGGATGGTGATAAAAACAAGGAAAGTCTCTGCGTTTCTCCCGTTTCCAAATGTAAATGACTATTTCCCACCAGCATTTAGGTCCCAACCGCAGCCAAAGAGTGCTTCCTTCTGCAGACCAGAAACACGGCAGGTGGAGACTTCTCCCTCACGTCCTCCTGTCCCACAGGCACCAAGCACCAGACCCAGGGAAGTAACTCTGGCTGCGTGTTCCTGATCAATTGCATGATATCAGTATCTAACAGCTTTCCTTATCGCTAATTGCCTTTTCCGTGATTGGTAGGATAAGCTATGCACCAACATACAGACACGGAAATGCATTATTTTTACCACAGTTAAAAAAACCCCAAAAACGAAAACAAAAAAAAAAAAATGCACAATCTTTGGAACAAAAGAATTAAAGGCAGAAATTTAAAGAAAAAAAAAATACATATTCAAAGAACATAGTGAGGTATAAAAAAGTATTTTCTCTTTTTTTTTTTTTTTTGTTTTTGTTTTCCTCCTTGTCTTGCTATAGAGTTCCTCTACTAGTAAATATTGCAATAGCCAGGCCTCATGAACTGGGGGGGCTGTCCCACTTGCAGGGGGCTCACGTCACTTCAGTAGGGGGCAAATCGGCTGTAGCCACCTCGGTATAAACTCGCCTGTAGAAATTAAATGAGAGAAGAAGCGGTGGTTAGGAGAACTGTGGAAAAAAAAAAAAGAGGACAGCACTCAAATGCTCTCAGAAGGACTAACGGACACGTCCCGGCACTGACCCGCCACCATCAGCACCTCCAAGAAGCAAGAGAGGAGAACCTTGCCTGCAAAACCAAAGACAAGGCGCTCAGGAGGACGTGCTCATGGCCTGCCAGCTGGAGGTGAAGTCTGGCAAGCGTCGGTCGAAGGGAGTTCAGTACCAGCGAGCAGACTCATGAGTCTTAACCTCTGAGCCAGCTGTCCAGCCTATCTTTAGAGAGAGCAGAGACCAGGACTTCTAGGATGCTCCTCACCTCACCCAAGGTAAAGGTCTAAACTAGACACGATTGACCTGGTACCCTCGAAGTACCTGCCTTTCCTTCCTCGACCCTAAAGGGAATCCACGCAATGAGCTGAGGCTCAAACGGAGGTGCTACACTGCTGCTATCTATATTTAGGTGCCTTTTTCTCGGAAAGCGTTTGTATTCCAAGTCTTTGCAACAACACAGATACTGCGCTGGCTAGCAGATGGGCGAGCATGTGTTTTCAGCAAGCTGCTCCACTCGCCTCCCGTGGCAGCGTACCTCATTCCTGCCCTTGTGTAACTACTGCTGGCAGGCAGGACACCACATCCTTCCGCTAGTGGAAGAGGGAACCACGTGGAGCAGCTTTGCTGCAAGATGTCACGAGAACAACTTATTCCCTTGCTTCCCAGAACTAACTTCTTAACATGCAGCACGAGCCTTTCAAGTCAATGAAAATGGCAAGAAAGGGTGTCCTGCATCTCTAACTGTCGCTGATTTTTGCTCTATATATCACCTTGATACAGTTCTACCGACTGACTGGCAATGTTCTGGCCCCTGGCATTTCTGATCATTCTTCTACCGTCTCCTTTGTACTAGGTGATGTGCAAGACCAAGTAATAACTGTTTTCCTACAACTTGGCTCATTTGCTAGTACACACACACACACAAAAATATGAATGCAGAACAACTAGAAACCTGGCACTGCAGCTAAGGACCTCCTCCCCCAACAAAGTTTTTCTGGCTGAAGTTTCATTACCTGATACCCAGTCAACAGCTGCTCCCCACGCTGGAAATGAGAAAACAGCACAAGAAAGAAAATCCCACTTACCACAGCGCCAACTCCATAGCTAGCGGCAGGGGCAAGGGCGTGGTAAGGATCTGCTGTGTACACCCTGCCATAACTGAAGAGAGGGAGAAAAGATATAAAAAAAAAAAAAAAAAAAAAAAGAGTCACTTCAGAGGAGCAGAGAAACAGCTGTCTGACCGCAGGCAATGGAAGAAGCAGCATGCCCTTCTACACACATGTATGCATACATGCACACACATGCACGCAGGCAGCCCCTCTCTGCAGAGATGCTACGGGCATGCTGCCATGCATCGGTATGAGATGGGCGAGAGAACGGCCTGCAAGGAGGAATGTGGCAGAAGCCATGAGCTCGACCTGCAGGAAAAAGGTCAGCACCTTTGAAATGACAGCTAGTGCATCCCTTACCTCACGCGATGCAATTTGGGAGGAGAGCGATTGCTGGTGCTAGTGCTACTGGCACGGTGGAAAGCAGGGAGGGGTTCTCCAGAATGAGGAGGGAGTATCAACTTTCATGTCTCGCATGCGCTAGGGTTCAAACATGGCCTCACGGCACAAGAGATGAAAAAATCTGAAGGCGAGCACTCTGATGATGATAACCCTTTGCATCGACACGGAGCTGCGCGTTAAAAGCATCCTAGAGTACTGCACGAGCCGAGCGATTTCTACTTCATGGACGGGGAAAGAAATGCACCCAGTGCTCAAACCACCTGCCCAGAGCCACAGAGCAAGGAGCTAGCAAGACAAGCCAGGCCTTCTGACTCTGAGGCCGCAGCCGCGCCGCCTCCCTCCGTGCAGAGAATCACAAGGATAGGGAAGAGGCCAGGATTTGTGCCAGCTCACATACACCGGGGGGCAATACCGCCCGGCAGCAGCCAGACAGACCGTGCATTCGCGGCTTTCGTGTTGGGGCTGTGCATGCACGTGTGCGCGTGCGACTGCAAGTGAGACAAAGGAACGGGGAAAGAAGTAGGAGCACTGCCACGGATCAGTGCTCCTCGAATCCCTGAGCACAGCAAGCTAGCCCCCCGTGGACACCTCCCCCTTACATACCCATCGCTGTAAGCTGCTGCAGCGGCCGCAGCAGCCGTGGCTGCTGTTGCAGTAGCAGGCTGTGCGTATCTGTAGGCTGCGTATCCACCCTGCAGGAGAGAAGAGAACTGACTTTACAGATACCTGTCCACCCACGCAGGGCATAAAAAAGTAAAATTAAAAAAAAGTCACACACATCACAAGGAGAGGAAGTGTTTCAAACTGCATCAGCTCCCATGTTACGTCTATCACAAGCATCACCTGTTACCTCACGTATATTCCTTTCCTCTAAAGGACCAGGGAGCTCTTCCATTACCCCGTTTAGCAGAAGGAATAAACTAAAGCTAGCCTGAGTATGGTTATATCCCTGCAGGAAATTAAATTTGGCAGGGAGGAACTGAAAACCACAAGACGCTGAAATCTTGCGTGCAATGTAATTTTATGTCCCCCTCCTCTTATTCTTGGGGAAATTAGAGGTGGACACTTTCTGTAGAAAGGGGACCTTTTTAGAAAAGGGACCATTCAGAGAAATTCCCGCTTTTTTTCCCCCTCTATCTGCTTTTTAAGCCTGGAAAGCCCAAAAGGCTAGAATTTCACTTGGTCCAGATGCACAAAAGTATCAATAGCCAAGAGAAGCCAAAAAGCAGTTCAGGAAAAGATGGTCAAGTAAAGACAATCCCTGGTTGTTGCCAGCCCTGAGACCACCAAACTGACATCGATACCAACCAGACCATTCTCCCCTCCCTCCATCTAAGATGGAAATAGGTCGGGGGAAAATATGCCAGAACAGCCTGTATTGCTGCTGCATTTCTGCCCACGCCACACCTGTAGTAAAGGTCTTTAAAATGCTTACACTGACAAGAGGTAGTCACTAAAAACATACAGCTGGGCTGGCAAAACGTGACTCCCGACCCAGAGAAAGGGCTGTGAGTCCCCCCCGGCACTGCCACAAGGAGCTCCTGGGCAGAGGGAGACCTGGCTCAGCCAGGCGGCTCTGCAGACCCCGCAGGAGAGGAGGAGGGAGGCCAACCACCCTTCGGGCCAGGGGCAAAGGCTGCACGGCAGGCAGCAAAGAGGGCTCTGAAGCCCAGGTTAGATCTTCCCTTATTGTACATTTCTGAACGTGCTCTTGTTAACTTGGGGGGGGGGAACGGTAAATCAACTGTGGCTTTGATTAGCTAGAAACACAATGAACCATGTTATTTATTCCAGATTGCTGCTGGCTTTCCCCCACCCCCCTCAATTGACATTTCAGAGTTTGAAGGCCCAGAAGGCTGATTTATGCTCTTCACCTCCAGAACCAGCTCAGCACGCCTCTACCAGTTCCTCCCTTAAGAAGAGTACAAGGTCAGCTCTACTGCAGGACTGTGTGTTTGCTCAGCAGCGCTCAGTTTTGGGCTAGTTGGCTTTTAAATTAGAAGTAATGATTTCAAATTCATTTTGGTTGCTTTTGCCAGGCCTGCGTTAGGTCTACGAAGGCTAACGTGCTATCCAAAACATGCCTGGGGATCCTTTCCTACTCCAAGGGAGAGGGATTTACAACCTCTTCAATCTTCTTTTTAACAGAAGAAAAAGCAACACAGATCTGCAACTCTGAAACACCACCACGTTGCCTGAAAGAGAAGCCACGTTACAGTTTTGCCTTTTTAACACATCTAGTACTTTCAAACCCTGTATTTTGGATGACGGTTTGGGGAAGGTTTAGCTTGGCCTTGGCATGCTGTCACTGCACCGCCATGACCCCCACCTCCAAAACATGACAGAGATGAGAAGAATGAGGTGCAGCCTTAATCCAAATGAAACCTCCACTGAGCTCACCGAATCAAGACAAGACTCCATACCCGTATGTCATTGTGGTACCCCCTTACATTTAACAAGCTTCCTGAACTCTTGATGGGGTCTGTTGCTTGGGCACTGCGTACGAGGCGTTTTGCCTGGCTGTTATCCTCTGCAGGGCACCCAGCTTCAGTGTGCACCCAGCCTGCCACTCTGCCCCACACTCACCAGCCACATTTCAGATCAGAAGCCATTTCAAATGTGCCTGGCACATACTCTGAACATGACAGCAAGATGCAGTTTGAAACCAAAAAGGGTTATCATGTAATTCTCTTTTAACTCATGGTCTCTCGTAAAGGAAAACGAAACGAAACCAAAACAAAACAAAAAAAGAAAAGAAGAAGAAAAGAAAAGAAGGGTTGGAATCAGGTGTGGGAGGGGGAATGGCGTAACATTTATTAATCAAAATTAAAAACTAAGCATGCTGACATCTGGAGCTAGAACAACCAGCAAAGTCACCACGTTCAGACTCATATTGGCTAGTTCTATCCATCCCAGCATTCTCTTGGGACAGCAGTTCGCCCTAGGCTCTACCACAAGCTCAGTGAAGTACACAGCCTCAAGTACTAGAGCGTGCAGCCACAACAACCTGCTATTACGGAAACAGTCAGTCACCACTGGAGTTAACATTCCAACCTTAACGACTCCCGCAGCCTCCCGCCCTCACCCCCGGAATGGCTCCCACCCTAGCCCTGTCCCACACCACAATGTTAATAATTATAACAAGCAATAACCCATCTGTTATATCAGAGAAGGGAACAGAGACTCCACTGAGAGATTTAGAGCGGGATGTTAACATTTCTTCAGTCAACTGCACAACAAACAAAAAAAAACAGGAGAAATAATTCATTGGAGAAATGAAGTTAAGAAATAGCTGACATGTGTATTGCTTTTTAACCATGCACTGATGCAAAATTGAAGCTACTGTAATTTAAAAAAAAAAAAAAAAAAAAAAAAGAAAAAAAAAGTCACAGGATAGAGGTACACACGCACTGGCAGACCCGCTCTGTTCAAAGCGATCTGCAAATTCTACTTGTGTGTACTTCAAATAAAACCAAAAATGGGGATTATAATGGCCATGGTACGTTCCTGTCATAGGAGCAATGAGTGTGGACAGCTGGGGGATTTCTGACACAGGGATGTATTTAGCATGACCAGCAGGTCCAAATACACCAAAACAGGGTGAAGGAAAGAAGAGGAAAGTTGCAACTACTACTTGCTATTTCATAAATGCTTTCACCAAGCTCTGGGACCAGTACAGAGCAAAGGAGACACTGTGCAGGTTGCCTTACCCAGCTGATGCTCCTGTTCTCCATAACCCAGGAACCACCTATAGAATTCCATGAATGCGCCTAAAGCCCTGCTCAGCTTGCCCAATGCACCAGTTATTTTCTCCTGCTATTCCCGTTCACACACAACCTTAACTGGTATGCAGAGCTTAACTGTAGCCTCAGCTACATGGTCCTGCTACCTCTAGTGATTTCTGATGACACTCACTTCAGGAACTCTCGTACATATAAACTATAACAGAATAGAGCATCTTCAAACAACATAAACAGTCGTGTTTCCCAATAAAAGAAATAATAATTAAAAAAAAAAAAAAAGAAAAAAAGAAAAAAAAAAAGGCCCTTGCTAGCTGCACCACACTCCTCCAGTGCCATAGCCAAACTGCAACAGAAGACAACACTGAGTGGCATAGTGCCTGAAAGTCAGGACAGCCATGCAAGCTCCCACTCCATCTATTCAAGTGAAGTGATTCTACAGGGATACATTTACCCATCTAGGTTCAGTTTTTAAGATCTTCAGCCTCATCTCAAAAGAAATGACTGTGGCTGAACTTCTTGTGAAAATGTCAAGTCAGAGACGTTTCTATCAAAGGGACAGTTTCAATACCGTCGACAAGGAAACGGGGGAACTAAGGAAAAGGCTTCTGCATTTTTACTGGGCTGTAAGTAACAACCGAAAGGACTGTCTAAATCAAGACCGGTCCTTTCCAGTACATTCTTTTGGACTGCCTGGGGAGCATGCGAGAGAGATAAACAGAACCCTAAATTCTGCTTACTTGAATTCAAGCCTGCCTGTAAATATCCTGCCAGTGTTGCCAGGGCTGTGCTAAACCCCATTCCCCATGTGAATGTGTCGCACTTGAGCCTACAGATCTCAATTTTCAAACAACCATATTTGCTCAAGGTATTCATAAAAGTCCAAATTTAAAACGCCTCTTCTGTGATGTTATCGTCCTTGGCTTATCAAGGAAGCAAGAAAGTATTTTTTTTAAAAGGCCTTCTTTAACATTAGAGGGTAGCTTTTTCACTACTGTCACATATTCTCTGAAATAACACAAACATGGCAAAACAACATATACAGGAAGCTGCAATCCCAGCTAAAGCAGCATTCCAATTCCGAGCATGTTAATGTAGATAAATGAGTACTTTAGGACCACACAGTTCAGCTCAAAATAAGTCCATCTTCTCTTCCACTCTTCAGGTCCATATTAGGTGATCAATCCAACGAGAACATGAGGAAATCCAGAACTACAGCTTACTCTGGCAGTGTATCTTATGGTATAAGACCCCCTTTTCTTTTTCCCTTGCTGCCTTAGATGGGTGCACCAAGTGTGTTGCTGGCCCTCTTTACTCCAAAGAGCCTTTACGCCACTAGCACACAAGCATTTCTATACCCCTGGAAAAATGTGTAACTCGTGATTACCGCCTAGATACGTTTGACCACCTGCCACGTTTAGGCAGCAAGCCCAGATTTAGGATCTTTTGTTTGTCGTATCTCAAATGTGTCTTCTCCACCCCCAAACTGCCCTGTAACACAAGTTAAGAAGCAGAAAGGGCTAGAACCATTTCCAGTATTTCTGTATTAGAAGGGTGGCATATGTGCACCAGGAATGAGCATGAATGAATTAAAAGAGGTGACAGGACAACGGTGTCCATTGCAGCAGGTGCTTCTACATGGTAATGGGACAAGCATGACCTTGTTAACCCTTCCATTGAATTTACAGTCTTTTATTTTTTGGTTTTTAAATGAAATGCCACTCGGTGTGAAATCTGGACACACGCCGCCCTGCTACAGCAGGGGCTTGGATCACACGTGAGTCTGCGCTGCCCTAAAAAGCCTCTGTTCCCATCTCTAATGTGGTGCTGGAATGGTTAGTATAATTCAGTTTTTTCCACTGCAATCCACAATCTGATCGGTTGGCAGGTCACACTGGCACTCCTACCTGAGGTATTTTAGCGCTAATGATTGGTTCCTGTAAGACTATTCTATAACAGAACACAGGAAGAGCAGTTCAAAAAAACACAGCTGTGGAAAGAAACAATCATACAAACAGCCCGCGGCGGGGCTCACCAGCCTTTTCTTTCCAGTGGATGCAAGCACGCTTTTCACAGGCAGGAGCGGTCTTCGCACGGGTGGGTTTGTTTGGGTTTCCCCCCCGCCGCCCAGATTGACCCCATTGTAGAAGAAAGATAACCTTTCTTATGATCCGAAATGAAGCCCTCTGCATCCTGGGGCAGGTTGTTTTATGAATTCAGGTGTCTTGCCAGAGTGGGACGCATCCAACAAGAGATGGAATGCCTTCTTCACAGAAGAAATGGCTAGCAGGATGGTTGCCCCAGGAAAGAAAAAAGGAGTGAGGAAGAGGAGGAGGAGGAAAATGAGAAATCGATGCCTAGCACGTATGCAGAAAAAGCAGCCCAAGCTTGGGACACTTCCCCTTCATTGCCTACCACAACCACTCCCTGCCAGCTCAGCTCCTTCCCACCCTTCCTTGACACAACCCTACGGACTCAGAAGACGTCAGGGAACCTCAATCTGACCTTCCTCCCAGCCCTAACTGAAGTACCCCCTGCCATCCCTTCCACAGTCTGGACAAGCCTTTCACAGCCACCAGAGAGACAGAAGCACTGCAGTGCAAAGCACGACAAATCAGTGTGGCACAGAGACGCTGTAATCATTCCACCTGTGCCAAGCAAATTATCTGGAAGGGTAACTTCATGTTTGGATTAGGGTAACATTTTCCTGAGCCCCATCAGAGGGCTCAGGGCAGCAATAATATAGGAAAAAGCACCTTCATCTACCTGGATGAGTCCCTCCTTCCGTAGTCCTGCTTTCTGATAGTGAGACCAGGGCCACCAACAGCAAAGTCATCAGAAGTCCACCTAATGGTTCTAACCTGACTTGGGGACTTGGTTTTGTGTTACGTGATGCTACTGCACTGCAGCACCAAGTAGTTTATGGGGATTCTTCATTACTGGAGTCTCTGTCCTTAAAACACGTTAAATAAGCCTCTCCTACCAACCTGCAACGGAAGCTCTGAAGGAGCTTTCTCAAAAGAAATACGAGAAACCCTGGCCAGTCCTCCCTTTTCCATGCGACAGCCTCTTATATGCCATACTCCGAGGAGGTACAAAGCATTGCTCATTTGCTTGCTTACTCGCTGTAGCAAAGTCAGTGGTCTGTAAAGCTGGTGTTTTAGGCATTAGGCAGGAAAACCCATAACCCTCTGTAGTCCCTGACACAGTTTTATAAAGGAACACTTGACTAGGCAGATCAATTTTTGAAGGACTGCGCACACGACAGCAGGTGTAAGAATGAAGAAATGCACCCAATATCTCTATGCTCGGAGAGCCCATCTTCCAACTGCTGTAACTGTGTTGGGAAAAGCAACTTTACAAGACTTGACCCTCCACATAAGCCAACAAAATCCAAAAGCTAATTCCATCCATTACATTGAGTCTAATCCCAGGGACCTCTTTATAAAGTAGCACCTTCGGAGGAGCAGGGATGTGAAATCCATGCCGACAACTGTGCCAGTACCCTGTACAGAACTTCCCCAGCTCCAAAGAGCTACTACCTACAATGCCACAAAAGGGAACTCTGCTAGAGCTAGGCAGGCCACCAGCTGCGATGGCAGTAGTGGGCCTGAACGTTTTGGCTTTGAAAGGCATATTCCTACCGCAGCTGCTGTGCGAGAGCTCTCCGTTAGAGAGGAAACCACGGTTCTCGCTGGCCAGTCAGAATCCCTCCATCCGCAACCCAGGTCCACATACACAGGTGCCCTGGAGATTTGCAGTACAGACTGGCTGGGTACGACAAAGACAACGACAGGACAAAGTCTCCCGTGGTATCAGCGCTAATTCCCAGACAGGAGGAGGCCGCTGACTCTTCTGACTGAACATCTCCACATATTTGTACTTTACAATTCCCCAAAGAGGCAAGAGAATCTAGCCTGTTTAGGTAGCGTTTCTACCAGCAAAAGGAGATGTCAGTTTTCACTCTAGCATCTTGGTCTCCATTTTTAATCAGTCCCAGTGTCTTCCCCAAAGGGATAATCTCCACATCCCAGTGGCACACGAACATTTTTAAACATACAGCTTGCTCTGTTTAGCGTGGGCTGCACAAATCAAACACGAAAGGGCCCCAAGAGGGAAGAGAAAGGGGAGGGTGGAGGGGGAGAAGGAAAGGGAAGGTCTGAGGCTAAACCAGTCCTGTTATGTTTATATCCAAATTATGTAAACGAGAGAAGTGTTGAGAGAAATTTTAATTCACTAATCATCTCTCAGGTTGATTAGTAGCAGTGTGCATGTGGGGGACAGGACACCCAGTAAACTGACCCTGGCAATGATCAGGAAACCCAAAGGCTTAGGTCTTGCACCCAGGGGCAAGCGCAGTGACAGAGAAGCATGCTTGCATTCCTAAATATATAAATATATATATCCACAAGGAAGAAGAAAATTAAAGTAAATGATATTTAAAAAAACAAACAAAACCAAACAAACAAACCAAAAGGAAAAAAAAAAAAAAAAAAAAAAAAGGCTGGCTTGTCAGGGGTGGGGACGAGAAGGCTCCGGTGTGTGTACTTACATAGAGGTCAGCACCGTAAAATCCGTCCTGGTAAACCACACTGCAGAAAATCCACACAAAAACAAAAAAACAGAAAACAAAAAACAAAAGAACAGAAAACACATTCCGGTTATTGAGGACGGCAGCATGCACATGCGTTTTACACAGGCAGGTGATGTATGAATCCACAACCTGGGCTTTTGGCAGGAGCAAATCAGCGAGAGAATGTGTGTGCGCACGCACGCTAGACGGCTCCAAGTCATCTTCCATGGCATGCAAAGGGGAAGGGGCGGGCAGAGGGGGAGACAGTATGCAAAGGAGAGAGGGAGGGGGACCACCATCTTGTACAATAAAAATAGACTCAAAAAGATCTGATGTCCTGAAGAAGAGAAACAAGGGTTTAGAAACCTCCGCTCTGGTTATTCTCCTGGAATGATTTTAGTTACCCCCCTAAACACTTGGCTTCGTGAATGGGCTTGGGAAATCGAGGAGCCCCTCAGAAGGCATCTCACAGGGGCTGGAGTCACCTATGTCAGAAGCACTTTTCAAAGAGTTATGTACGATTACGTATTTTGAGCTTCACAGGGCTGCATGACTTTGTTTCTGACATCCATACATCACCTGCTTTCACCCTGCACATTAGACATGCGATAAGATTTGGCTGATCACACAAGCATGCAAAGTATTATTATTCAGCATCTTAAAGAACCGATGCAACACCTCAGGAAAACAAGTCAATCAACTCTGATCAAAGTAAACAGAGAAATGTAATTAAAAAGAAAAAACCAAAAATACCCACAATGCATTGCTTTCACAAGCAGAGATAATGAGCTAAAAAGGTTAGGTGACTGGTCCAAGGTCCGAGAATTGAAAGGTGCAGTGGGAGTCCCTGGTAGGAACGACCTATTCCGTAGCACAGAGGAGGAACTGGAAGGGTTTCCATGGGATGGTGCTTTTTCTGCTTTAAGCCATAGTTTTCTTTCTCTCAGAACTTCAAGCAGGGAAACTGTTAAACCGGAGCCTGGGGTTCCCAAAGAGCCACTCTTACCAGAGCATTCTCTAGCGTAAGACTACGCAGCTCGCTTTGGGGACAGGGGTCAGGGAAGGATGAGGAAGGAAGAGAGGGGATGCCCCCCCACCCATCTGAGTTCAATGTGTGCTTCATACTGAGGAATTTCCTCCTGCTTTGTCCTCTGAATAGCTCTGCAGAAACTCACTCAAGGCTTTAAAAAGCACTATAGCCCCACCGTTTGTGATGTTCATGGATCTGATGTGCATGACTTACCAGTAGCATTAAGGAAAAAGAAGGTATGGAACACTAGTGGTTTGGTTTTTTTGATTATCATTTTTTACTCATCAGATGGAACATGAAATGCTGCCAAGAGCCTGCCACCCTCAGACACCCACCTATTGTAAGACACGCACACACAAAAAAAGCCCAGCAGATCTTGCCAAAATTCTGCATGCTATTACTAAAAAATAAAATAAAATAAAATAAATCTGTTGCAGTGTTAGCTACTGCTTGAATAATTTAGTCTTGCTGTCTTCCCCAGGAAAAGTACACTCCATTCCCAATGGACAACGTTACTATGGTCTCCAAGAGCGCTGGGAGCAGATATGAAGATAGAGACCCTTGTTAGAGGAAGAGGGGAGCCACTTCAGCAGGGAGAAGCAGGCCGTAAGATCGTGTTTGTTGAAGCTAAATTTTTACAACCACATAACAAAGAATTTGGCTCCTGGGGCAGAGACTTACATTGCTGGGTTCTCTATCTAGGACCAGGAGTGTTTTAGCAGTGATACTCCACCTGCTCCTGCAGGAAAGGCAAACGCATGACAGAGGAAGTGACTGTTGGTTTATGAACAGGTTAGCAGTTTTAACAGTTATTCCGAGTACAATCAGTTGGAAGAATATAAGCATTACCACATTGGATCAGGCCACTAGTCCTGTAACTTAGAATCCTGTCAGCAGGAGATGCCAGCATCAACTCTCCAGAGAAAACTGCAAGGAACACTAATAACAGGTAAGACTACGACTTCCTGGGTGCAAACAACCAAGCACACGTGCATCCTCCGTCTCTCCTTCAGTTACGACTTGACTGACACCAACTGCCAGGGCTGAAATTTAGCAAGGTTTATTTATATGGTAGAATATCCATATTTGTGATTCTTAATGCTAGCGAAAACTGAGAGATTTCATTCATTTGAGAACCACAAAGACCGTTCTGGTTATGTAGACTGACCAGAAGCATAAAGCAGCCCAGCAGATCTCAGTGGCATCTGCAAAAAGCCTGCTAGCTGAGCTAAAACACATCCACAACAAAAATATGCTGGTTTTGTAAAGCAGCCATCATATCATTTAGGTGTACCAACAGTTGACTGTGTTGTAAAAGGAACCAAAAAACCACTCCAAACCCACAAAGCTCCCTACTGCATTCTATCTAGTCTGACTTTTATCTACTTTTGGCTTCGAGTCAGTGAAGCTTCTATATATTTACACTCGTAGACTAATTATTTTTTACTATGGTAAGCCTACTCCTCATATAGGTACTTAATGACCATGAACAAGTCAATGTCTAAGGTTTGAGAAATAAAATTGATCAAGCTTATTCAGTTTTGAGAGTTTTACAGTAGGCAAGGTTTTTTTCAGCCTGATTTAATTCTTACAGCTTTTAGTCTGAAGTGTAATTTGTCAGCATTCTTGTTTAGAAAGCATGGCTGCTACAAATCAGGGCAATATTCCAGTACAGGTTTTACTCATGCTATATATCAGAGGTTATAATGTCTCCTCACTTCCACTGAATGCCGCCTCGGTTATAAATTGAAGGTTACATTTGTATTCTGAGGTCAGGCTCAGGTGACTATCTAACATCCTCTCCAATGGTCTGAGCAATTGCTTTCGAAAGTGTGAATAGCCTTCCCTGGATAAATGTCCATGTCCATACATAAGCATGTACATTCCAGGTTGAGTTCTTGAAATAAATGTTAAAACTACTAAGAACGATATGATTTCTTGCACCTTCCTCTGGAGTATCCAGCACTAGATACTGCCAAAACTTACTCTAACCTGAATGGCCCTAAGGTCTGATCCAGTATGGCAATTCCAGTGAGTTTTTATTTATCTACATTCCGTATTTTTTTGAATTCTACTAAGCTCTCAAATGCAGTGATACCATTAAGTTTTATAACTTAAACACCACTGAGGTTTGTGAAAACCAATTCCTTCTACCAGGCCTGAGTTAACCTGCAGCTTTCCTTTACTGTCTTCTTCCACATTTCTCACTCTATCTTGATCACTCACGTGTTGCTGACTGGCCGTGTGGTGCCATCCTTCCACTGGCCAGGAAGAAAGCAACCGAGGCAGGGTAAGGTGTCAGGAATGTGTGCCTGCCCCTGACTCCATGGAGGTCAACTGTGCCCAGGTGAAGCGGTGGCTGTCCTACAGCTTACTGCAACATGGAACTAAATAGCACATTTTGTATGATTCCACGAGGAACCAGATTCTCACTACAAAATATCTTGCAGAGATCCACACTACGATGACAACAGAACACCAGAATTACTGATATCCCAGTGCTTGGGACTAGGGACAGTTCTAGGCCATTTGTGAACCTGCCTCGTTTACTGCTTCCCTGCAAACGTTTACTGGATAGTAGGCTGCCCATGAAGACATAAATCAGTCAACAGGGTCAGACAAACTCAGCATAACGTAAGTAAACACAGTCATGAGACAATATTTGGAAGGGATAATCATTGGAGCCTGGCTCATATTCCAAATGGGAATAAACCTTTTATATGGGACTCAGGCTGGATTTATATCAAAGACGAGCCTAGAGTCCCTCCCAGTGCACAGCTCGTGACAGCCTCCTGCTAGGAATGCTCCAGCTGTCACTCCCAGGGATGAAGACACATTCCCCTCCCCGGTGCAAGTATTTAATATTCTGCTAGACAGCAGCATTTAGCTCAGCTTTGCTTCTCTGTTTCACTGTGGAGCACTTCCTAATAAAACCTGACTGGGTCATTTTTAGAGCAACAGACAGGCAAGTTGCAGGTCAGAGGCTATGGTTAGAGGATATAGAATACAAACTGGGAGTGGTGGCAAAAAGAGGTGGATCCGAAAACAAAGAAGAAACACTCTGTTCAGAAGGCCAATGTGTTCAGACAAGAGGTTTCGTTTAAAGTGTTCTGGTGAATTAAATACAAACATTGCCAGATTTGCTGGAGAGCAGAGCTAGACGGATACATGATCACTGCAGCTCGCTTCCTTGAGCTCTACTTTAAATATCACACCAGACTCTAAAAAGAATGGGCCACAGTAGCTCTCACCACTTAATCTGCTACAGAAGGTACTGCAAGCTTATCCAGCATATATCAGGCCAGCTACTTGCACTGGTGTGTGTGGCTTCCACCTCCCTTTTTAATAAAAGACTTGTATTTATTTTCTTCCCTTTTGGGGCTAGTCTAAAGGAAAAAAGGGCCAGCCCACTTCTGTGTTGGAAGATTCATTCCTATTCCTATTCTTTCTGAAAATGTTGCCTGGAAAATATGGCAAGTAAAATTCCACAGACGGCAATATGAATAAAGCATCCTCAAAATCAGAAACAAAACAACAACAAAAAAAGACAGTCTGGAAGGGATTTCCTGATTCATCTGTCATTCCATCACACTTTTAAACAAACAAACAAAACCCCAAAACAAAACTCACACACAAACCTAGTTCCCTCTACTTTTAAGCAGCAGAACACTCTTTTGTAACTGCATCTATTCCACTATGTTACTAGTGAAAAGTCAGTGGGCAAAGAATGCTAAGGCCACCCATTCACCATTGCTTCATACAACAGTTTGAAGAATGCTGCACTTTCGGTCTCCCTATATCCCAAACACTCCCAGCTTTAAATTAATGGACTTGATTAATCTTTGTTTTAAACCTTTTTAAATCGTCTCCAACAAAGAAAGCAAATCCATTGTGGGTAACTGGCTCTTCTGTGTCCTACTGCCAGATGGTGAGGCATGAAGGTAATGGATAATATTCCTCATTCCTGGATATGAAAATGCAAATGGAGTGCAAAGAGCAGAACCTTTTCAGAAATTTTAAGACCTTCTCTCTTTGTGTCCTTCTCAGCAGCACTATAACATATTGGGTCAATAGTTGATGAATACCACGTAGACAAATTGAGAAATTATGAGAAGGAATCCACCAGCGCTTTAAGCTGTTGCGAGTACTGAAAATTGTTCCAGTCAAGAACTTAACACGGAAAAATTTAGATTTGCCCCTGCTGGATGCCATCGTGTGCAGAATGCTCTGGCACTAGCAATACCCTGACTCTCACCATCCAGACAATTTTAGTTATTTTTTGGTTAACCAATTAGCTATTTGACATGGTTGTGCAGAGCACTCTGCTCTCGTGACCAGTGCTTACCCTGGGTAGGCAGGGATGGCTGTGGGAGGTACGCCCGGACTGCCCCATACACTGTCCTTCCTCGGCCCCTCAGATGGGCTCCCCGAAACGCGGCTGCTGTGGTGGCTGCAGTTGGATAGGGGAAGCCTGGAACTGTAAAGACAGACAAGGTGGAGGGTGAAAAGGATCCGAGCTCCTGCCTGGAGAACCGTCTGCTTCAAAGTGACACAATAGCTCCACAGCGGTGGGACATTTTGCATCAATCCTGCAGAGGGGCATGCTTATAACCCAGCAAGCATCTGATACATACTTCCTGCTACACCATGGCCTTTGGGGGAGAGGGGTTGCAGAGAGGTTTGGCATGCAAGAGGTTAATGCTTTGGCATGCCTCACCCACCACAAACAGGGTACAAATCCCCCCGCCTTTTGACACCGCCATGCAGTCTGGTTAGAGTCTGAGAAGCGCAGAAAGTTACTATCAATGTAGCAGGCGGCTCTTCCAAAACTGCAGAGGCTCTTTAAAATAATTTGTCAAGAGGCCCTTAAAGTCAACCAACTTACATCAGTCTCTTCCCTCCTTTCCCCTCCCACTCTTTGCCACCCAATCCTCTGTATGTTCATTTTAAAGCCTGAAAGACAAGATAGCCCATATAACAGCAGCAGAAATTTCCCATAAAGTGCCAGTTTACTGAGAGCCCACCTTCATTTAACAAGAGTGACCAATGACTGGCTCCATACACAGCGGGGACTGCTCTATTATGGTTTACACTGGAGTAAACTGGCTCGTGATGAAACAATTGATGTTGAACCTCAAGAGGCATCTGCAAACCCGTAATAAACAGATACGGAGAGGGAAGGAGTCCCAGGGCGCAAACCCAACCCAACGTGCGTCCAGGTGCATGCCGCTAGGGGCCCTGCAGACTCGCGGTTCAGCAGCTTGTATAATATGTACTTTAGGGATTTGTCTGTGTGGTTTCTCTGATTTCAAAAGGGGGAGAGGCAGGGGAATGGCCTGTTCCTCAAACACCCCCTCCCCCTTGTTCTGCAGTCTCCCCATCACTCTGAAAGACTCATTCACCAGTACAGAAACACACTGCAGGTGAACCAGTTACAGCAACTGCACAGTATATGTTAGCTCAAAGTGAACTCATTCCCGACAAGACCCATCCTTTCAAGTATATATTATACAGACTGGAGAGAAGAAGGGTAACAGGTCATCATTAACTCAAGCACAGTAACAACACAGGGGCCAACGGGGGCTACTTACTGATTAAAGGAATGTAAGTGTTAATACCCCCCCTTCCTGACAGGGGCACTGCGGCGTCATTGCCCAGCGAGACATCTGCTTGAAAGCTGGATGCTAATTTAATTTAAAAAAAAGAATAAAGAAAAAACAAAACCAAAACGAAACAAAAAAAACACACACACAAAAAAAAAAAACAAAAACAAAACAACAAAATAAAACAAAAAAAAAAACAAAAACATATAAAGGTTATAAAGAAACAGCAGATTGAGAACATAAACAAACACCACTGCAGTTAAATGGCAGAAGTGGAAGTGTCTACTTAAGCTCTACCTGCATATAACTCAGGGCCGTACACCGCTCCAACCACAGGACTCAACTTCCAACCTGAAACAACAAAGACTGCAGTGAATGCCAAAATCTACACCAAGAGAAGGAGCGGGCAGCGTGGGTAGGGGGAACGGTCTCCTGCATGCGCCCCAGATTCACATGCACAGCTCTTGCCAATTTCTGCTTCGCCTCAATCCCCCTTGGTGTAGATGGAGGCCAACTGCCTTTTTTCTAATGTCAAGTTCTGGGTACAGGTCGCTGTATCGGCGAGAACAGCAAGACATCAGCTGATCCGCAGCACGGCAGAGGCGCCGCTGAGGGAATGCCAACTACCTTATATGCATATTCGCCACGAGCCCCGCGCGACCCTGCACGAACCTGGCTGCCAGCTCCTCCAGCTCCTCCCTGCTTTCACCAGAAATGCTGCGGATCCAAAACCTCTCTAAAGCCACCAGCCCAGACTGTCATCCCGGGCAAGTCAAATTGATAGCCTTGAATTCTCAACACACCCTTCCGCCTTATTTGCTAGGGATCTGCTAAAAAGCAACAGTGTCTGAATTTCCTCGTTAGCTGAGTTACATGACTACGGTGCAGAAAAGCAATACAGCCTATTCACTTCACATTTCTCCTCTCTGTTATTTAGTATTTCCTGTCTTCTTTACGCTGCTTTTCAGGCGAAAGCCCTCCCAGAAAATTGATTTTAGTATCATCTGGATAATTGGCAAGAACTGCAAATCTTCAACATAAAACCTACAACAGAACAGTGCTTAAAGTAGTCACCACTGGGGTACGAGAACAAACATGTTTCCAGTCAAATCTAGAAACCTATTTGTCCTCCCCACCGCCTTTCTACTGGGGGAGAGAAGGGGTGCAAAGCTAACAACATCATCTGGGGCTGGCTTCCACAAAGCTTTCCTTTAAGGAAAGATCTCAGCTGTTCAGCTAGCTATCACACAGGTATTTTTATTTAAATAAACCCATACCCTTCCTTTGTCTCGATGCTCTTACTGCACTCTAACCAGCCACTACTGCACCTCTCACCAGCCCAGAAACCATACGAACAACTCCGTGAACTGCAGCACATCAACAGCACCCCTTCATCTGCTGGCAGAGTACCAGTGAGAGATCCAATGCATGCTCCCTCCACGAGACTGGGCACGATGCCGCTGCGCTGCCCACCTTGATGGCCAAATACTCAAGTGAGTGGTGGCAATGAGGGGACTGGGATCAACCTTCAAGTTCAATAGCAGTCCTATGACCACTCGTCAGTATGCCTTAAGCCTGGCCTAATACTAAATACTTTTGCATAGCTTTAAAGCTGGCTTTAAATTGATGGCTGCGTAAGCAAAATATTCCTGTTACCACGGTTTCACAAGTCAATCAAGTTTTGTTACCAAATAGTCATACGCATTCTCTGCCCTTGTCTTTAGGGCAACCTGACATGGCTGTGCTGCCTTTTGCTACAAAATCTCCTGGGTTCCTTTCAGACTCTGAGATCCAGAATCCCAGTCTTTCTGCCTGGCCCTGTTTCCTTAGTTCTGTAACCGAAGGGAGATTTATTTGTCAGGAGCAACGCAACAAGTCAGTAGCAGAGCTGCAAATAAAATACGGATCTTCTGACTTCTGCGTCTTATGTTGTAATCAAAACGGATTATCACACTAGCAATTACCTATATGCAGCTTCCTGCCTTGTGGAAGCTGTTTGGGGACATTTTCAGACCAGAAAGAACTTTTCTGCCTGTTTCAGGACAACGACTCGGATTTAAAATCTCTATCAAAGCAGCATTCAGTTCTGCTGAGAGAAGAACGACTTTTTATGCTATATATGCCAATGCAATAAAATTACTGCACAGGCGGAACCACCAAGATATCCTGCTTAAACAGGATTGTTCATTACCCAAACAACTTGGTCTTTCTCTATTCAGGTTCACTGGAAAACGACTGAACACAGGCAGAGTCTGTAACAAAAGTGAACAAACAAGCAGCGCAATGCCTCTGCTTTCCCGGCTGCTTGGGGACAGCTGTACTTTTACAGTTAGAACCTAAAATGAGACATGTCCAATTATGTATCTTACACTGAGCTTCTGCATTTATATTTAGGTATTTACATGATGGCAATGAGACTCGGGAGTACTCTACATCCCATTGTACAGCAAGAGCTTGCAGTAGTCACAGGCCACCCATCAGTCCTTGGCTTCTTTACCCAGCTTGGCCATGTCGGGCATGTGGCTACTCCTCTCTGTCCCCACTTCTCCATCTATAAAAATGGTATTCTTCCACACACACCGAAGGGTTATACTGAAGAATAATTAGGGGTTGTGGGGTTTTCTGGGTTTCTCTGGGGGTTTGCTCCTGAGGAGAGGTCATGACTTTTCCCTTTTGTCTTTCTTCAAACCTTTCACCTCACCATTAGTACAAACAGTCTCTCTTACCATTTGCGTAAGGTGTGACCATCTTCTTATTGGTCATCACTCGCGCAGTGGCGTTGTTAACCTAAAAGTAAGAAAGGGGAGGGGGGGGGGGAAGGGAAGGAAGCATAGGACATTAGGGAAAACAGTGGAAAACTCAGATACCACACACACACACACACACACACTATACTTCTCTGAGCAAAAAAAAATTAAACAACTAATTTTACAAGAATGCAATATTTAAATTACTTTTAACAATTGCCATTTAATTATAAAAGTTACAGCTAAATGTGGCACTTTAAAATTATGCATTAAACAAAAGGCCAACGAGAGTAAAGTGCAGATTCTCCACCACCCTGCCACCCCTTGGCACATGCTTATTCTCAGCTCATTGATCGAAAGGGCAAAACTTCGGGACGTTTTGTCCAGGTTCTGTTCGAGAGGCACCGATCACTTCTGCAGCCCAGAGCAGGGGAACTGAACCAAGTGATGCACAAGCTGACTCATTTCTCAAGCTCACCGGTGGGACTGGGGCCCAGCAGGTTGCTGACAGGCATACGTTTTGTATAGAAAAAGGTAGCTTGGAGTCCATCAGCTTTAGATCTCAACTCTCAAGGCTGAAGGAGATTTCTGGAATGCCACCAAGCATTTGGACGGTCTACGTTCATCAATTTCCTCCCCATCATTTTCAAATCTTTTTTCCAGATTATTTTTATCTTGTCCCAAATCTCATGGAGCGAAAAGAAGAAACACGTAGCAGTAGACCTGGGTGTTTTTCTGGTTTTATTATGCCCTCCACCCTCTTTACAGAGCTCTGCATAGTTCCAAGCGGTTTGATTGCTCAAGCAAGTGGGGTGTTACCACAGAGATGGTGCTGATAAAGAAAAGATGGACCAGTTTGGAAGCCAAGTTACTGCAGCCCCGTGTCAGACAGCCTCAAAGTTCTTGCAAGGAGGGTGAAGTCTTTATACAACACCAGTAATTTATCAAAACCCATGCCAAATGGGAATTGAGGCCAGGGTGAAGGAAAAAAGAAAAAACAAAAACCAAACAACAAAGGCTATAAAAATAAAAGTTGCCTTGGGCCCTTGAGACTTATGGATGTGAGTGTACGCAGGGTGGGGAAGTCTGGAGCTACATTTTACTTTCGTTTCAGCCCCAAAACAATAGAAACATTACACATTTAAAAAGAAAGAATGGGAAACAACAATGATGAGACTGAGAGCATGCAGTTAAACACACACAGATAAAAGAAAAAAAAAACCAAAAACAAAAACAACCCCACAATTGATTCTGAGGGTGGGGAGGGGAGGAGGGAGGAGAAAGGGTCTCACAGACAATCATTAAGATGGAGCGAGTGCCTGAAATCAGCTGCTACAGCAAAGTGCAACACAAGCACTTAAAGGAAAAAATTGCCAGAACCGATCAGAAACCACCAGTCAGCAAAGAGACCAACAGCTGCATTTAACTGAGTAAAGAAATAAACTGGGGAGGGGAGGAGAGAGAGAAGAAAAAGAGAGAAAACAAACAGTAACAGCTACAAACAGGTCTCAGAAAGAGAGAGCAGCAGAAAGAAGGGGCAGGAGAGAGAAGAGGAAATGGGTGCATTAATAAAAACCAGCCAAACTGGAGTTCAGTAACTCTGAGTAAGATGTGCAAGGGGAAATCACCATGAAGTCAGTAATCAAACAGCTCAGACTGCTACAAAACGATATGTACATCCAAAGTCCAGGCGGCATTACTCAACAGCATTGAAAATAAAAGGGGAAGAAGGGGGAAGGAGGTGGGTGGGGACAACAAGTCAAATCACATTTCGTAGTGTTAATGTGAGATGGCAGATGGAATTTTTTTCTTTCTTAATTTTTGTTTTTTATTTTTTGTAATTTTAAGAAAAAATAAAAAAAAAAAAAAGAAAAAAAGCTTCTTCTCTAGCGCTTTTGTTTCACTTACCGCCAACTCGTACCATCGCCAGCATTGTGTATAGTTACCATGGAAAGAGTGAGTCAAGTGAAGGGCCCTAAACGCTAAACCATCGAAAAGGGAAATAAAAAAACAACAAAAAAAAAGGCAAAATATGCAGACATCTTACTCAAAACGGTGGCTTTTTTTTGTTTTAATATTTGTACTTTTTTTTTTTTTTTTTCCTTTTTAAAAGAAAGGAGGAGAGAGGGAAGACGCCAGTTAGCCTTCACCACAGTGGGACACCGAACTGGTCAACACCAGGCATGCCCAATATATGGCCATGTTGGCCAGCCAACATTAACCCTTCACTCCCCCGCGGTGAGAGCTACAAACTTTAAGGATTAGCTTTCACCGAGCTGACTCTGGACCACGTGCAGGTCAGGAAACCAGCGCTGGGTATAGCACAGCCCACTCAGGCTTCTGCCCCGTGTCTCCCCTCCCCTCCCACCATGGGCATCATCTCACACTTGCGTGGAGGAGAACTGGCCTCGAAGGAAAGAGGGGATACTGGGTGGCCCCCTGCTTTCTTTTTTGGATACCGAGTTAGAAGTTGGACAGTACTCTTTCAGTTAGTTTTATTCAGGCCTGGTAACAGGAAATCGGAGCCTCACAAACTGAAGCAAAGGAAAAATCAAGACAGCAGAAGGGCAAAAATTTGGAGTGGGTGGGAAAAAAACTTAATAAAGAAGAAAGAAAAGAAAAAAATACCCAAAACAACAATAAAAATATTCTGTAAGGGGTGTAAACTTTTATACATTTCAGTGCAGGGAAGTGAAGGACACAGACACAAACACACACGCACACACGAGACAGGGATCCAAATGTGAAATAAGTGAGGCAAGACACAAAAAGAAATCAAAAGAATAAATATAAAGAAGAAATTGAATTACTGAAGACATGCACCTCGATTTTACGGCCCTCTACCACGGTGCCGTGTAATTTCTCCCTGGCCCTGTCTGCATCAGCACTATTCTCGAAAGTTACGAACCCGAATCCCTGCATGCAGCGGGAGAAGGGGGGAAAACATGCACATCGTTATATATTGAAATACTGATCTCTAGGTAAATAGAGAAAAAATATCACAGTATGAAATCGACATCAGCACAACTCAGCAATAAACTCCTAGAGTCACATTGTTGGTTCATGCATGTTTCATAAATGAAAGAAATTAAATTTGATAAAATAAAGGAACTGTAATCATAATAAGAATAATAAAGAGTAATTAAAAAAAACAGGAAAAAAACCCAAACAAACAAAAAAAAAACCCAAACAAAAAAAAAAAAACAAAACAAAAAAAAAAACATAAAAGCAATTGAGGCCAGACCAAAAAGAAGTACAAAGTTACTCGAGACAATTTTTTTGTTGTTGTTTTTTGGTGTTTTTTTTGTTTAAAAACACATTTAGTGCCTCTGACATAGGCAAGCTGGTCAAGCCCAAGCAGGGCTTCTCTCCCCTCTGCTAATTAACACACATGCTTTGCAGGACCCCCCCACCCGCCCCGGACAGTACAGGACATCGACACTGAGCAGCACTTCGTTCTCTTGAGAAACTGCTACGAGAGCGAGCAGCGATCTGAGTTCACGCCTGGCACCAGGAATTCTGCGAAGCTTTGGGCAAATCAAACACTGAACCTTGCTTTTCCCACCTGTAAAACGGAGACAATAATAATTACCTACCTTAGAAAACTGTTGAGAGGAAGGGCTGTTTTGTAAAGCATCCCTTGTAAGGTCTTCGGGGCACAGCTCATGTCTACTCCTATGCCTGTAACTTCCCTAATAACGCATGGGGCCTTGAAAGGAAGCAGGGCTTCTAGGTGGCACCATCAAATAAACATTACTTAACATGAAGATTTAGAGTATCACATACTCTAGTTTCAAAATTTTTCCTGTCTGTGAGCACTGTGTTGGACTTGAGTGTAAATCTAAACACCCACCTACCGATTCATCGGTAAAGGCCGGTTTTGTCTGACACCGCTGGCCCCGCTGCTCCCTCCCACCCTGCCACCCCCCATCTTACTTGGCTTTGTTCTGAGATGGCAACCTCTGCGCCGGGGAGAGCAAACAAATCTAGGCCTTGAAGCTTCAGAAAAATTGACATGCCCTGCCTGGAGCAACCACAAAGGCTCGAGGACTACTGAAAATGCCTCTTTAGTTAGATGAATTTAGGGTTACCGCATCCATGCCCATCCCACATGCTCGTACTGCTGCCAACTCATGCGGTCACGTAACGGGGCAGGGTAAGAGATCATGCTTCCTTCCATGGAGATGAGTGCAGTGACATTAAACCAGAGCCAACATGACTAAGTGAATTAGGATTTTAACTAGTAACGGATGGTACCTTACCACATACAATGTGATGTGACAGCCTTCATGCCATTACAGAGAGTGGGGCCAAACAAAAAACGTTGTTGCCTTCTGCTTTTAGGGTATCTGAAGAACAGGAGTAACTGGCTCCTGTGGCTTGGTGTAAAGCAAATACTGATTTAACGTGCAGAGAGTAATCTCTGCGGGCTCTGATACCCTCAGGAGCGGAAGAACAAAGCTTGCATTTGAGGCAATGGAAACTCCTGATATCAACCGGAGAGTGATGTAAGTGATCTACAGCTGTGCTTTGTCAGGAAAAAGGCATGCTAGCCCTGCGGCCCCCTCCGTGCAGCTCGGGCTCAGTATGTAGGGACTGGACCCAAAGAAGAAAGAAAAAAAAAAAAAAAAAAAAAAAAAAAAAAGCATCTTGATTTCTAAGCACTGTTAGTAGCAAGACACAAGCCATCATTCTTCAAGTGCTTTTTAAAGGTCTTTGCAATACTAATCTTAAAAAGCCCAAGCCGTTTGCACATGCTGGCCTTTATCATCCACAGCTAGGTTTCCAGCACAAAACTGTTACACACTTGTAAAATGCAAGGTTTTTTTTCTTTCTTTCTTTCTTTTTTCCCCCCTGAATAGCAATAATAAAAGAACTGAGCCAAGTACTGCAATGTTGAGATCAACAAGAGCGCTCCTTTGGGCTCCAACCCAATAATCTAAAGCTTCAGATAATTTCATTTCTCCAGCTATAAATAAAAAGCTATATAAATAACAAACTGATGCCTTTTTTCAGAAAAGCATAAAAGTTTTCTGTTTAAATGAATTAAAATTGGAGCTACAAATGATAGGGGCTAATAAAACAGCCCAACCACACCATATAACTCTCAAATGTTGCAGGGAAACAGGGGGGATTGTGGGGAGTATAATAGCAAAGCTGATTATGAAGGGAAAGGGTATCGTGTCTGCTTCAAAGAACCCCCACAGAGAAAGGCAAGACTGAGAAATAGAGCAACACCCTTCCCTCTGGTTCTCTATAATGGGGAAAAAGCATCTTTAAAAGGTTGGGGGAGGAGAGGAGGTAAAGACTGCAATAGGAATCTCTATTTCCCTCTTCTCTTTTTACATTAAAAATTTCTGTTTGTTCTAGACAAGCCTGTGGAGACTGAATAAAATTTATGTCTTTGGTGATGATGTGAACTGAAAGCTGGAGAGCAGAGGGAAGGTAATTTTTCAGACATTAATCTGTTCAGGCTAGAACCAAATGAAGACTGTTTTAATTCACATTTGTTTGCAATTAGTGAAGTCTGTATGGGATTTTAAAAACCACATTACCATTAAATATTTTTAAATTGATTAGGAATTTGCAATATTTTTAATAAGTTAACTTAAGGTAGGGCACAATCCACATGCAGACTATATGAAAATAATTAACAATGTGAATTACAACAGAATTAAACTGATTCTGAACAACATAACTAATTAACCACAATTTTTGTTTTATTGACAGATCAGTCTTTAGCTTGTGCAACTCTCGTTGTTGAGAACCATTTAATGTCAATGCTGAATTAATGCTTTACATAGTTGACTACGGCAGAGTCAGAATTTGTGTCCCCTTGGTTTGTCGTCTTAATGCATCTCTTAGACATTCAGATTTTCATCAGGAAAATAGGTGAGCCACGCTTGACATTTTTGTTATTTCTAAGTTTAAAAACTAGCAATTATATATAACATATTTTTGATGTGGCAGAGGAAAAAAGCACATACATATATTTTTTATTCCTTCTCACAGATGACCTGTAAAGAATAGGGATTAATTTGTACCTAAATACATATACCACAACTCTCAGTTTTCCCTCCCAAGGTTGTCTTGCCCTTGAAAAAAAAAAAAAAGGAAGGGGAAAAAAAAAAAAAAAGAGGTGACAGATGTCCAATATTTTACTAGCTTCACTTTAAACTGAGTTGCTCCATAGTAGTAGGTATGGAGCCAGAAGAAGGGAAGATACAACCCTGGGTACAAAAAGACTTCAGTTTTCTAAAATTTAATTACACAAACAGCTTGGGCTTAATAATGTTGTTGTTATAACAAGGCTGAAATTTTCAACAGGTCCTCTCTACCAGCAACTTCTCCCAAGCAGAACATCAGTTTAAGCCTCAGTGTACCCAGCAAACATGAAATAACCCCAGCAAACATTTTTAGGACTGGTGAGTAATTTGCAGTGCCAGACTAACCCCCTTTTTTTACCCAAAGGTTTATTCAAAGGGCCTGAAGAGACCGAGTAACTGCCACCCTTTTAGTCTGGCCTCAGACTCTGCAATAAATAACAAGCAACATGATGAGCAGTGAAAAAAAAAAAAAAATGTATATATATAGTATTTGAACGTTTCCATCTCTGAAGAATGAGAAAGAAAATTTACCATGTAACCGTAAAGGGAGAAATCAAAAGCAGACGGTTCTCCTGGGTGTGGCCAGAACACAGAAATTAAACAAAAAACAACAACAAAAAATAAAGTAAAATAAAAAAAAAAAGAAAATAAAACCAAAGGAAACTAAACAGAGCCCCTTGAAATCCATGCATTGTTAACCCTTCATTTGTCATGGAGTTTAGACCAGTCACCTCAGCAGCAGCGTCTTTGCCTTGTACCACTGGAGCACACAGCCAGCAACCGGCCTTGCCGTCATCTGCTGCTGTGCTTGTTTTTAACCAGGTTTTTGCTTCCCCCCCCCCCACCCCCCATTTCCATAATAAACAAACTCTTAGGAGCCTGAAAAAATGGCCAAGGAGACAGCAGTTTAGGCTACCTGTTTCCAAGGCATTTGGAGGGAGTAGGAGGGTTTCAGCTACAATCCACCTGAGATGAGCAGGGCTGAATACACCGACACAAACACAGCACGGAATTCCGAAACGCGTTCTTGAAGTTACACACGCAGATGCACGCTTTAAATTGGTGAGGGAATTGACATAAACCAAGCCGCCACCATTTCAGCAGCTCTTCCAGCGCCTCCCCCTGCCTCCGTGCCGCACTTTGAGTGCATTAAGGCACATACGCATAAATCGCCCCTCCGCACACCTGGGCAACCTGGTGAATCAGATGCAGGAGTTAATCTGGCTAAAAAAAAAAAAAAAAAAAAAATGTCTTCAAAAAAAAAAAAAAACCAAAACCAAAACCAAACCCACCGCTGCAGGGGTATTTTTTAAACCAGATCATTTTTATCCCAGTCCAGCCTGTTGCGTTGCTCCACTGCCGGTCCCTCCTGCAACACCGAGGAGGGGGCACAGGCTGGGAGGGAGCAGCGCCGCTGCCCAGCCAGAGCTCGCGGCTTCAGGGCAGCTCCTGCCAGCTCGGGTCAGGGGCTTCACAGCCCCACGTCGTCCTCGGCTGTGTGCCCCCTCCTCCTGCCCCCAATCCATCATGGATCTCCCTGTGTGGCCTGGAAGGTCAGCTAGCTAAACTGGCAGAAGACAAGCTCGTTTCTCTCTCTTGCTCTCTCCCTGCTGCATCAGTTCTTTGCTAATTTAGCACCCGGGATTCAACTCCCTACGCAGTGAAACGAGCACTGCTGGGAAGGTGCTTCCACGGGAGTGGTAAATCAACTTATACTATCAAGCCATCAACTTCAGCCTTAATTACTCACGTTCAAATAAACCAGTTCAGCCTATGGACTAATTTAACTCGTTAGTTTAGTACTGCAGAGTTGAAGGCATAAAACTGTACTTCACTGAACTAGGATAAAGAGACACAGGTCATGTCTCCTTCATGCCACTGGCAATCATAAAGGGATCTGGTGACCTGAGAAAGCAATGCTGGTCTCTGGTACTTAATTTGTTATTTGCGTTAATATCACTATTTGTATTTCTGGCTCAACTGATGACATCTGAACAAAAATTATGAAAATAGAATTAAAATAAAAACAAGACCTCTAATTTTTAATTTTATCTAGTAAGAGGTCATATCTATTTCACTGAGTGGAAACTAAGTCCAGAACAAGAGTGGATCAACTCAAAGCACCTAATCCATTCAAAGAAGAAATAAATGCACACGAAAAAGTACCATCTTTTAGGCACAGTTATCAAAACCTAAATTCATGTTCTTATCTTACCCTACAGCTAACTGCAAACATATAAACCCCCTAAGTGTTTTCACACATCTTTCTGCAGAGGTTTTTAGTTAGCACAGGTTTACTTCTAGAACTCCACTCACCAACAGATGCAATTTCTTTGTGAAGACAAGATGTAAGCTCCTATACAACCATTTTTTTTTTTAATTAAATACAAAGAGCTCCTAGACACTTCAGTCCTATACAAGAACTTGGAGATCCGGGTCTTCCAAGTGGAAGGCAGTGAGGGATGTAAACTTACACTATCCTGAAACCACAAGCTTGCAATCCGCACTAACACGAACTCTTACCATTTACAAATTTAGGGGGGAAAAAAAATAAAAAGGCAAAAAGCTTCTTCAGCCAAGATTTTGCTGTGCACTTACGCACACTTGGTCTCTGAAAGTCACCGAGGGCACATCTTGGAATGCCACACGGTACGCAGCTGCTGAGCCAAGAGCCTGGATTCCCTTCCCCTGCAGCTTTACGAATGCCACAGGGTACTCAGTATGCAGGCAGACTGCATTAATTCTGCAAATACATCCACTTGTTCGGTTCGGCACAACAGTGCCAAAATATGCATCTAGAGGATGCATCTCCCCTAACAAAAGGAGCAGGAATCCTCTCTCTCTACCTCCTCTGGAGGCGTTTTATTCATGGTTCAGTGAAGTGCACGGCAAACTGCAACCATGAGCAGAATGCTATTTAAAGGCACTTATACAGGTCAGAACTAGAAATATAATGGTAAACAGGATAAATGAAACAGCTAGTTTCCTGGAAGCAAACAAAAAACCCCAAACACATCAAGGGAAGACCGATGTCATTCCACTGAACAAGAATAAACCAAAATTAAATTAAAGGGATGTTTAAAATTTGTATCTCATACGTAGCAAAGCATTATCAGCGTCAAGTCTACCAGGGTCCATATAGTCCTACTAAACAGATTGAATCTGGGCAGAAATCAAGTTGGGAAACAAGAATTCACATTGATTTGAGAGGAGAAACAGCAAAACTAATTATTAACTGTCTCCTACTCTGCTGTGATACAGAAAAATCAACAAATAACATTTCCTAAACCAAATGCAAGAACCTGAGGTATGAGTTGGCTTTGATGGACACACGCTGCTCTCTCTTTTGTCACCAAGCTTCCTAAACACACAGAGATCCTGAAGATGCAGCCAGTGTGATATAGTTCCCCCCCACACTGTTGAAGAAAACTGTCTGGTCATCTCAGATGGATTCAAAAGGAAGAATATAACCCACACACTTCCTCCAGTCCCTCCTACTGACCAGCACTGGAGCGATCCCAGCAGAGAGCTCCTGCCACGGCTCAGCAGGGACAAAGCGCTGCTCAACCCCATCGTAGGCTGGGTGGGGGCGAACCCAGGGCAGTTTGGGATTTAGCACTGTACCTTTCAAATAGTTACAAAACATATACACAAAACTCTACAACCCTTAGGAACCCAGGGAAAGGAAGGGAGCATTGAGAACACAGCACAAGGCAGGCAGCAGGAGCTTCTGCTTTCGGATTCCCAAGAGAGAGGAGGAGGAGAAGAGAGAGAGGTTTCATATCATTAGATTAGAATGGAAACCACAGGGCAGGAAAATGCATTCAGATTTTTTTCTTCCTAAGGTGGAGGAAGAACCCAAGAGCGAGTGAGTGGCCTCCAGAAAGATCCATTTCCTTTGCTTCACCATCAGATCACCAAACTGTTGTTTTTCCATTATTATGTGAATACCAGGTGCTTCGTGCAGCTACACCCCACTCAAACGCTGGGGCCTCCCATTTTCATGCTAAGCAGGAATAATCTTGCATTCTTTTTAAAACAGGAATTATTTTGGGTAGAGAAGGATGCAAAGATAACACAAAATTACTCATTGGGTGTTTTCTCATTCTGTTCAGATTCTGCCCCAACCCTCATATAGGCTATCAGTTTTGCAACTGCTTTTGCTGTAAGATGACAAAAAAGCAGTAGAAAACTGCATGGTCAAAGCCTGGAAGAACGTATCTTTGGATCACTTTTTTCATGTATTTATTAAGAGTAAATATTTGTCAAGGAACTCTTAAGCAATAATTTTTGTTTTAACTGAAAACCAGAAGCCTTGAGCTTTAATAACTGCGCAAGAAGGTACTTTTCATAGTCATAAGTCAAGCCTTCACAGAAAGCCTCCAACATTAGTGTTGCCTAGAAGGGAAAGGGCAGCCGTGGGTGTTTTATACAGGGCTGTATGGATGGGAGAGAGAGAGTGAAGTTCATGTGTGGAGGGGAAAACACTGTTCTGGAAAACACAGGCAGTGGGGGATGAAGGACAGAGCTCACCACTTGCCAGGCCAGTTATTTTTGTTCTTTCATTTGCAATTACATCCAAACAAGTAGGGATCTGATAGAGGCCAGAGGCTATTCCCAAAGGCAAACAGAAATTACTAAAATCAAGACTAATTCACAGATAGCTCTGGCCTATAAATATCAGAAGAACAGCAGAGGACAGAATAAATATTTACAAACTCAGCATAGCTGATTGTTTTGGTAAAGCGTATAGATTTTCATCCACACACGGAAATAAAACTCTTTAAGCAAGTCATATAGACATTTCCTTGTTCAGACTGTCTTATTAAAAAAAAAAAAAAAAAAAAAAAAAAAACACACCACAAAAAAAAACCCCAACATGGTATTAAAAGCACAAAGGATGGGGAGAGTGCTAACACTCATTTATTTTGTATACAGATCAACTGCTTTCTGGTTTCCAGCTAATACAGAGACTGAAGAATTTCAGAATGCATCTTGGGCAACATGGATGGAAATTTGCAGAGGGCTCTGAACATGAACGTACCCTGGAATATATGTTGAAGCAAAGAGGCCACCTTAAGACTGTGAACCTCAAATCCAAGCGAAAGGCATAGACTCTAAACCGAAACTGCTTAGCTGAATTGCAACTTCAAAATCTCTTGTGTGCATGCACACATGTGTGCACACGTGTGTGTGGGGGGAGGAGGGAAATTTTGTTTTAATTGAAAATGGGAATCTTAGCATTGATTAAGTCAAGCAGAGTATAGACATGCACTGTGCAAGCTTCCCCCATAGAGCTTTGGCAATGCACCTCGCTCCTGACCTGCACAACTCCCTGCTATTCCAAGTGCTGAACCTCCTGGGCAGAGAGAGAATCACATCAATTTGTCATTGTGGTGATACTGGTTACATGATGAGAACCAATTGCCAATTAGGACAAAGATCACTGAATCTCTCCGCAGCTGACCTAAGCAACATTTGAAATCTCATCTCCAGAGAAATAAATTACCATTAACCCTCAACAAAACCTCCCTCTTAATATATAAGATGAAAATAGGTGTGTGAATGCAAATTCAGTGGGGAGAGGCCCACATGGGGCAGGGCAAGTGGAATGAGGATGCTTATATTAAGCATCAAATATCTCAAACATGAAAGGTCAGTATCTCAGAAGTGCCCAGTAAGTCTGCAAACCAGCGTAAATAAAATCCTTTCACATATGAGATATGACAGTTTTTCTACAGAATTACTTTAATGCAATGAAAGTGGGGGGGGGGGGGGTTAGGCTTTGTTCTTACAGCCTCCCGTCACATAAAGCTGTTTTACCTTATCCTGCCTTCCCCACGGGGCACCCATTGCTAGTGCTTTGGGAAAGCGTTGGTATGAAGGCTCAAGTGACTGACTGCCTGTTTGTTCAAAAGGCTGGGGAACCTGATCCCACATTACAGACAGGAGTGTCTAGGAGCATTCGTACATGCTGCCCAGAAATGACCATGCTCAGAGTTTGGAGTCAAAGGGAACAGGAGACAGTCCCCAAAATAGCTTTTCCCTTCCCCCATCACACTAATTCCTGCTGATCTCTACAGAGTATATTCTCTAGGCAATGAACTGCCTTTTACTCTGCAATCAAAACAAGAGAAGCGGGTACAGGAACAGGACTTACCTTCGAGCCACGCTCATTAAAGATTATCTCTACATCAAGGATTTTGCCGAATTGCTGCAGAGAGACAAGGGGGGAAAAAAAGATTTATTTTTGGCAATCCATTTTTCTTACCTTTTAGGGGCTGGCTTAGTGCAAGAAGGGAGGTGAGAATATTTCCATTTCTAGCATACAGGTAAAGGCATAAAATCCCAATGACAAGACCCAGTTCTCTCAGGTTAGGACATGCAGATCCTCTTGGTCACAGATCCCAGGTTTTCTCTCAAAAGTCTAAAGGAAGAAAAACAATCTCCAGAAGAGTTTTAGGGATTTGAGGTGGCTTTCCACCCCCGCACCCCCCCCCCCCCAGCTTTTAATCTGAACAATTATTTCTTTCCTCATTCTACTATTTCATCTAAGACATGGTTATATGATTTCATCTCAGACATCTAACAACATTTCTCAGATGTAATTCTGCATTTCATCTTCCTCTTGAAGTGGCTATCACAAAGAGACTCTTAACAGTGATGATGTTCTTCTGGAAGGGATAGTCACAGAAGATTCCCAACCTCAGGGATTCCAAACCCTAATTCTCCTTCCCCACTGCTTTACTTCACAAATCTCCAAGCCTTCAAAGGAACGGACGGCATATTCAGAAACCATGATAATGGCCAACCCCCAGCAGTTCGCTTTCACAGAAATAAATCATTCAACTTCAACCTGTGACATACAGCAGGCTGTCGATAACCCATTCAACTTTGTCACGTATGATACACTTCTGACCTCTGCCTGGAGACCCCAAGGAGAGCAGGGCCCTGCTACGCTGCACTGTTTCAACAAATGGTTCCAAAGAGCTCCCTACTTAGCACAGAGTAAAAATGGGAAACAAGAGCTACAAACTCGAAAGGAGATCTACCACACGCTGTGGAACCATATACAGATCACCTCTTTCACCTCGGAACATATTAAAATGTTTTTATTGAACTGGCCAATCAAACCAGTAACCTATAGGTAAAAGCATCTCCACTTCAACAGAGCCCCGCAATGCTCTGTCCTCTGCAAGTGTCAATGTTGCATTTCCAAACTGGAGGTCTGCTCATCAGAGAGACAGGTCTAAGATCTTATTTTCAGGAGCATGTATACAGAGCAGTCTTCATTCTAGAGATGCAGACAAATGCTGTATCTGAGCGTTTTTCATACCCCATTCTTCACAAAAGCTTCAATCAACATGATTTTAATCTCATTGCTTGCAGAAGATTTAAAGTGGTAGCAAATGGAGGAAGCATCAACAGGAAAAGAAAGGATGATTTTACAGTTAGGAAAGATGATGACCACAGCCTCTGGGCACTGGGACACTCTCCACTTTGCCAAGGTGCTCTTAGTATAATATTTGTCTTTGTTGTTTTGTTGTTTTTTGGGTTTTTTTTTTTGTTTTTGTTTTTTTTGTGGGGTTTTTTTGTTTATTTGTTTGTTGTTGGGTTTTTTTTTTGTTTGTTTTTTTTTTGTTGTTGTTGTGTGGGTTTTTTTGTTTGTTTTTTTTGGGGTTTTTTTTTTGTTTGGTTGGTTGGTTGTTTTTTTTTTTTAATTAATATTTCCATTTGGTGTCAAAGGGGTATAATGTTCATTTTGCGGGTGCCCTGCCTGAAAGACTTGTGGCCAGATTTCCAAACATGGAACATCTACAACAGTGAGCCATGGTGGCTGAGGAAAAGCTCTGAATATGTAAAGCAGTAAAAAGCTATTAAGTCCCTAGAACAAGTATTCCACAACCGTCTTTAAGCAAACAAAACATTTCCAGCAATTTTAGCTATAGTTTCTGTCTGCTTCCATTCTTCATTCTTAAAAAGGAGATAGTTGTATTCTTTTACTAATGTTGGTTCACAGATGTTGTTTTTACTGTTCTATTGTTTAAGGACAATACTTGATCTTCTCTTCATCCCAAGAACAACTGAATTCACAATATCCCATGTTACACAAAGTTTGAATAATGCTAATGTAAACATGCGTCTTCCCTGAAACCTCAACATCCCAACAGTTTAGGCTTGATCCATGCTGGATCCTCTTTTGACCACTGCTGTGCCAATCACTGCTAAAATGCATTTTCTATTTCTATCCAATGCTTGGTGTGGGCTTGTCTATAAAGGAGATTAGCCGTTGATTGCTTTTTGTTGTCTTTGTTGCATATGGCTTGGGCACTGCCATGAAAGAAATCAGTCATGATTGCTTTCTTGGTAGACTATTTCAGTGTCATTACACGACAGGGGCTGAACCAATTTAACAGCTTGCAGCTGCCAAAGGGGTGTCCCTGCTCCCCAGTCCTTCCCTTGTCTGGTCTCACCAGCTTCCTAGGGCTGGCCACAGTTTTCATTCTCACCTGTAGTTAAACTGATACAGCTCACCAATCCCGCGAAAAACAAGCCCAACAAAAGGAATAAAGACAAAGTTTTTGACGATTTACTGCTCTGAAGTGGCTCAAAGGGTCAGGTGAGCATTAGGGCTCCAAGAAGCAAAAAGAAGTGGAAAGCAGCACAGCCTGCCCGAGAGCAGGATCCATCCCTGACAGATCAGCTCAGCTGCCTAGCCTTGCCACACATGCTGAAGCAGCCGGGCTCTTGATAAATGCAAATGCCAAAATTATTTTCAGAATCTTCAAAGCCATCAAAAATCACCCTTTCCTACTTCATTAGAATCATCTTGAAAGAGAACAAACTGTGCAGCTTCTGGTGCACAATTATGCTGTGCCATCTTCCCCTTTTTCCACACCCAGCTGGGCCTGGATCCTCGGGTATTACTGCCAGCACTGCCTGCCAGCCCTGCTCAGCTGAACTCACCGTGCAGGGTTTCCACACCGACAGGAAATCCTGTCTTGTGTGTTTAATTTCTTGTGGCAGACAAAAAGCTGGCGGTAATGCTGAATGCAAGTGATCTGACCTGGCTCCATGAGAGGCAGCAGGGCTGCCTCCCTGCCCTGTAGATGCTGGAGGTACATCGTTTCTTAGATGACGGAATTAAGATCACCAAATTACACGGTTGCAGCGAGCACAGGCTTGATGTCATCTGCCATGAGCTACCCATGCAAACAGCCCCAATCGCTTTTCCACCTGGGAGTCGCGAGTGTTTGAAGAAGCATGAGGGAAGAACCTGCTTGGGAGAAAGGGAAGAGACAACAGGGGCTAACTGCTGAACTGAGGTTTGCTGGGGAAGGGTTTCCTGCTCCGTGAAATTTCCTGGAAGAAAGCAGCATGGCCAAGAGGCAGGAGGGTGTGTGCTGGGCTCTTCAAGACTATGCTGTGGCTGTTGCCACAGCTGCTCTGAGAGCTAACACCACAGCTCTTGTCCTCACTGCTGCAATGGTTACAGCAGGTCCAGCACTGGAGGCACTTTTTTTTTTTTTTTTTCGGTTTGTGTGCCAGAATTTTCCTGAAGAATGAAAGCATGAAAAAAGAACTAGTTCATTTTAACAGTTTATATCTCCTTCAAAGCTGAATCTAATTTAGTGGAACATAAAAAGGCACTTTGTTCTCTGATGGTGCTTCCCCTACCAAATGTCAACAGCCTACTGCAAACAATGGAAGTTTTAAGAGCTCCTTAGCAAAAGGTCACAATTTTTGTATGGAAAATGCTAGGCCGTCTAAATACAAGGGTCAACACCAAATGCCCCCGTAGTCATTTTTAAAAATCATGTATACAGGCATGTTTGTATTTTCCAGCAGACAGATGGTCTGGCCAAATAAAACAAGATCCATGCTTAGGTCATCCATGAAGACTAACCCTCTAATCTCTAACCTTGAAGACATGAGTCACTGTTCTCACAGACCTGATTCATTCACTCAATGATTACCAAGAATGTCTACTTACAACTCCGAACAGCAGCAGGGGAAAAAAAATCCTCAGCAGAGTTTACAGCCTCTGAAGAAGGCGTTACAGGACTACACATCTCAAATGTTCAGGTTGTGCAGGAAGCCTCCTCCATGAACTACTCATACACATGCCATATGATGGATACACACACACACACACACGTGGACCTTCAGTCATGCCACAGCACAGGAGCTACAGCATCTTGTTCTTAGTCCCTGGAGTGACCTTGTACCAGCTTTTAGTCATTTTTCTGTAAAGCAGGTAAATGAGAATCATCTCCCCTACAATGGTAGCAGGGGCTGTTGGAAACAACAGTGTTAAGAAACATAAAGATATTAACAGACATCAGCTATGACCAAAACCCAATTTTCTTGCTTGAATATGATGTACCTTACGATAGAGGCAAGGGCATTATACAAGGAAGGGTATGTGCATGCTGTGTGTTTCTTTCCACCCAGATGACATGAAGGCAGCAGACTTGCCAGCATAGGCCGTAACTATATTATATATAATAAATTTGAGAAATCTGGCACCAGAGAGCTTTTGCCTTCCAAGGCACTGACAGTTTGGTAGGGCCCCTCTGTATGCACTGTTCCAGCTGGCCCTGTCTCCCCTCCCTGTCTAGAGCTTTCAAAATAAGCTCCAAAGTGCGCCAGACAAACAACTTAACCCTAAAGATGAAACAACAGGGAGTACAAAGTTAATTCTCTAGAAATCATGCAACAACAAAAGGCAACATGAGCCACCATTCAACAGTATCACATCCCTACAAGAGAACTCTGTATGCCCAAGCAGCTTTGCACCGGCCCTATAAAATCCACTTCGGCAAACCTCGAAGATGCCAAACAGCCCATCCTCAAAGACGGCTGAAATTCAAAAGAGCCAGGAAACCAACCTTTTAGACAGGAAACCATTTCAGGTCCTCAGGATCGAAGTACATGAGCAAGACCATTTCACATGCAGGCTAGGTCCATGCTGCAGAGAGGTCTTTACCCTAGCTCCCAGCTCCATGGGATATACTTTCAGCTGAGAACAGCTGGCTCCACCGTAGCATGTATTAGCCAGTGCTTAGTTACAGCAGCATGGGGTCTGCCAGAACTGTGCTGCTATCACTGCATGAACTTCTTCACCTAAAGCTGGGTCACATCTCTTTGAAACAGTGGGGCCAACTCTGCTACGGCCAACCCTGTTCAGCCAAGCGAGACCAGTATGCTTTG